GTTTTATTTTCAGATAAAAAAAAGAAAAAAGTCAGACAGAGAAATAGTAAATAGAAACTCACACCTACCCCGAAGCCAAATCGGGCTAGGGGCTTCCTAGCCCTCCCCCCTCCCCTCCCTGCTTCCGGCGTCCTCGCTCGGGCCACACCCATCTTCGATATTAGTCTTCCAAAAGAAAAGTACTCCTAGTAACCTTTTTGACCTCGGGGCCCAACTTTTCAAGTACAAAGTGGCCCGGGGCCTATTCAAATATTAACACTGTATTGGTTCTACTAATTGATCTCACTCTTGGTTTGATTTGTATTCAATATCTATATTAAATCCACTTACAGTTTAACAGGCAAAACCCTTGTCAAATAAATGAGATGATACAATGTGATGATCACAAAGACATTTATTTGTCATGTGTATACACAACAAGGACCCTGAAGCGAGCAAGAAAGATTGTAGCCGACCCCTCTCACCCTGGACAAAAACTGTTCGTGACCCTCCCATCTGGCAGGAGGCTGAGGTCCATCAGGACCAAGACCTCACGCCACATAAACAGCTTCTTGCCATCCGCAGTCGGGCTCATTAACAGAGCCCGGGACCCCCACTGACTCTGTCATCCCCAGGACAAATTCCTACCGGTCACTCCCCTGCATCCCTTCTATTACACACGACACTTTTACACTACACCTACATCTCACTTGTTTATAGTCCTGTCATCTGTTCGTTGTTTATAGTCCTGTTATTGGTTCGTTTGTGCACTTTATTTTATATTTCACTTTATTTTATATTTCACTTTATTTTATATCTTACTTTATTTTATATCTCTCTGTAAATTTTAATGTTTCTACTTGCACTGATTGTTGTTGATTGTTAAATGTTTGCACCTCCCGTCACGTCAAATTCCTTGTATGTTCAACATACCATGGCAATAAACGGTTCCGATTCTGATTCTGAAGAAGCCCAACAGGCTTTCCCACGAGCGTTGGATGTTTCGTCGCTAGGTGTCGCTTTGGTTTCGAAGGCTTCGGAACTTCGTTTGATAGCATTAGCCCACATTCCACACACTGAGCCCTCGGCTCTGCCTCGTTGCCTCCGTTCACAAAGCCGTACTTAAGAAAGTCAGGATTGTACTTGTGCACACATTTAGTTTACTTTTGGGGGGTATGGCACCACTGTCGTCTTAATTTTTTTCTTTTTATAAACTTATCCATAACTTTCGCTACAGGCTAGCGGCTAGCTGAGTGTCATCTTCTGCTTATTGGAGCTTGTTAAACAACTGACTGACGCATTACCGCCACCAGGTGGTGGGAAGCTATATTGTAACTGAGCGTCTCATGAATAACAGTAATATCTCTGGTGTCTTGAATTGATAACCTATATGGTCCCGCGGCCCTCGCGGCCCACAGGTGCAAAACTGAAAGTTTTTTGCGGCGATTGGGCCGCGGCCCCATGGTTAAGAATCACTGCTCTAAACCACTTTTGTGATTGTTCCCGCAACGGCAGGTGTCTTCCAGGACCACAATGTGCCACGAGGACTCCCACACAGAGACTCACAGGGCGAACACAATTCCAGCGTCTCTGTCATAGCTGGTAATAAAGCATAAGTGCAGGTGAGGTATAGAAACCCACTATGGCCACTATTATCCAAAAACCTCACCCAAACGAGAGAAAAATATATATAAATAAAAAGTAACAATGCAAAATACAATATCAACAATTAACATGCATCTTTTACATGCTTACTAATCACGTTGTAAAGTGTGATTAGCTGCTAACTAATAAACTGCACTATGTTGAAACCACAACTAAATTCAATTGTTCATTTCCAGAGTACAGATATAGATATATACATTATTTTTTTAATAATTAGGCTGCTATATATAAAAACAAAATTATCAATACAGAATCTTGTTGACATCAAAGTTCTTTTGAGTCTCACTTTGTATGTAGACAAAGACAGACAATCAGTCACTATAAGCACAAGTTTTCTGGTACTCATGAATGCACATATTTGGAGAATGCTTATATTCAAAATATGTGGAATAAGTGGATATGTTGCAGCACACGACTAGAAAGATGCTATTCTGATAAAATAAATTTAGAATTTAGAATTTCAACACTTAAGTTGTACTGATAATGTGGAGCTAATCAAATACTTGAACCAAGTCAGATAGACCTGAAGACAAACCTCAACATTAGTGCTTTCAAAGGAAATGACAACAGTAGTATACTTTACATACATTAAAAGCTGCTTTTTGTTAACGTGGTGGCTCCGAATGCCGTTCAGACTGAGATAACTGTTTGTAAAAGTGTAAAACTCACATATCACAGCATGCTTATGTTACTTTGCACATCTGTGCTGACTTTGCAACAAGGAAAGAGGAAAGAAAAAACACCTCACAGCTTTCTTACTCACTGCTGTTTTGGGAAACTCTTTGGATTTGAACCTCCGTTAAGTTACGATTTGGACCTTTCCCGTAAGTACAGGAGTGTCCAACTCTGTAGGGTGTATTTTGGCAAATCAACACAGTCTCAGTATAGATGTTCTCCACGTAAAAAAAAAAACAAATCTTACCTCATGTGTAGTTAAACTGTAGCAGGGTTTTAAACATGAGCCTGAATCACACGGGTAAGAAAAAGATTCTTACTGTACATCATGAGAAGCATTGCACCATCGGGTTTTTAGATTACACACATCTCTGTAATGAGCTGCTTAATGACCTGACGTCGGTCGCTGCAGAGGATGGTCTGAAGTGCTCTCTGACTGTCGTTGACGGACACTGCGGCTAATGGGGCTTTGCTCAGTAGCACAGAATCCATCAAGATAAGCCTTCAGACTGCCATTGAACCACAGGGTTTTTAAAGTTGTTCAACAACTTTGTGTAAGCCCATCCCACTGACAGTGCCAATCACTTTTCAGTTTGTTTTTTTCTTCCCCCTATACTGCTGGTTTGCATCATAATTCCTCTCCTGAAGTATGTGATGCCTCGGCTTCATCTTTGAGCTCACGCGGGCGCGTCAGCCAAGCCGCAGCTGACACCGGCGAGCTACTGTAGGCAAAGAAAACACCGCGTACTATTACTTTCCCCCCAGGCAGCCTGCTCACGCTTGCCCCACAGCACTGCTCGCCCGCCCGCCCCCCGTAAGCCAGTCTGCTTCTGATTACGTGTGATCATCCTCGAGCTCGCCAGCTACATTTCAGACTCGCGGGAGTCATTTTTCTCTTTAAATCTTGGCCCCCTTTCAAAAGGAATTACATTGTAGCTTGTCTAAGCCATTGTTAATTGCACTCATGGCAGCTACCAGCACTCAGTGATACTCCTGCTCTACTTGTTGTGTTTTTTTTAGTTTTTTTTTTTACTTGTCATTATAATTTCCATACTACAACATAATGGAGACTATTTCTTGCCAAAAGAAATGCATTCAACGGTACCACTCATCTGACTCTGTTAATTTTAAAAGCCCCATCAAGCATCATCATGTCACATTACCATTACAAATTATAACTTGATTTATCAACGTAGGTTCACACTGTCCGCTATTCTGCCAACAGCTTCAGTGTTCCTATTGGGAAGGCCCCGCAGTTGGCAGACCCAAGATGAGCGGCATTTTAATGCTTAGCAATACAATGTGTGCATGTTATTTAAATAAGTATAACATGTGTCAGCCATATCTAACAACACCTCCATGTGTTGTGACCTTACTTTTCCTCTGAGTTTTATCAGTTTATGACCCCGGAAAATAACAACAAAGCCATATAATGGGAACTATTACTTTGGTAAATGGTAATAGGAGTGTAATTAAAGGGAATAAGCTGAAAAGTGAACCCCAGTATTTTCCCTTAACGCAGGAAAAGCACTAGGCCTTTGGCCCGCAGATTCACAAGGGACCGACTTGATACAAAGTAGTGGAAAGCAGAGATGAGGAACACGGTGCGCTTTTTGTGCTCTCCGCGGTTCAGGATAGTTATTTTGGGGCGAATCTGTGAAACCGTATTCGCCTCAAACACGAGGAAAACGCGTTTGGAAGTGAAATTCGATCACGTTCGTGTTTTGATTTTCATCGTGGGGATTCGCTGAGTGTTTGAATAGTGTCAGTGATGATATAATAACACCATCCGCACCATTTACGAGGAAGGACATTATAGTCATATCAGTAGAAGTATACTGCAATACGATACTGTGTTGTTGATGTAGGAGACCCCCCCTCCTCCTCTTCCTCCCCTTCCTCTGTAGGGAAGTCACAGGTCAGGGTCAGCCACTGAAAAACACAGGGGGAAGTATCCTAATTATATACAGTAGCTGCCACTGAGCTATGGTAAGTTTATACAGCAGGCAGACTAACAATAATGCTGGAATTACGTCAGCTTTATTGGTAATCCAGATGGACCATCTTGTGACCATAGAATGTCAATCATAAAATTTCAATTCTGTGTCGACATCTGAGCCATAAATTAACAATTGAACATCTAAAACTCAACGACAACGTGAGCAAACTCCATCTGCTGAGGAAGAGTGAGGAGTCTGCGTGATCAAAAGCTCCAGAATGGCAACTAAATGTTTTGTTATATATTTTCAATTTTGGAAAAATGTCCAGAAATAAAGAAACTAATGTTTAAATTAACTCATGGTAGGATAAGTCAAATGTTTAATCAGCCACTTGGGAGCATTTCTAATCTGTTGTGATGAATCGTTTTAGAATGTAAATGTAGTTATAATTTAAGACATTAGAACTATGGGCAGTTTTAGTGCAAGTATTATCTTTAAGCCAATGTATGGGTGATGTAAAAATAATACAGAATTGCGACTGTAGATTAAACTTTAGAGCAGGGTCTCTCTCTTTGTTTTTCTCTCTGTCGCCCTCTCTCTCTCTCTCTCACACACACACACACACACACACACACACACACATGCATCTCAAAACACACCTCCCACCTCCACCGATGGGATCCCGGGGCAGAAGACATCATCGGGCGGTCCAGGAGGTTGCGGGAGCGCGTCATCCCTGGATGGGCGGCGCACTGACTGGAGGACGGAGGGTGTTTTCCAGCTTTAAAAGCACCGGAGCCGGCCCCTCTGACAAACCGCGCTGCGTCATCGACCCGGGGAGACTCTTGCAAGAGCTTCATCGGAGCTGTAAGACAGTCAAACTCACCTCTGCTCACCTCGGCCCCTACCTGCGCCGCTCTCCACACCCGACGGTGCCAGATCTCTCCACCGCGCCGTGGCTCCAAGTTGAACGCCTCGCTCCGCTCCGACTTCGCGGCGAACGATGCATTCATTTGACGGCGTGTGAAGTGATTCAGCTCCTCGCGAACAGTGTTCGTCTCTCGTTTGCTGGTCGGCGGTCTCTTAACCGGAGAAAGTTCCACATCGCTTGTTGAATGCAGGATACCTTCTGCCTGTGCGTCGATTCCAAGTTCAGTTTTGGAGCAACAGCCGGTAAGGTGCGGGGACTCCAGCTTCTCACCTCTCTCGCCGCCGATATGAAGTCTGCAGAAGAAGGTAACGTCAATTCACGTTTCAACCAGCGCTCAAAGATGAATATGTGTTATTGAAGATATATATATATATATATATATATATATATATTAAAGATGTGTTTACACCTGGCGCTGCAGTTATTTGGTGATCAGTGAAAATGAGCTGTCAATTTTAAGTCCACATGCAGATATGATGGTACAAACTTGAGTAATATTGCTATTTGGTCAGTTTGATGAATTAATACCAATTATTACCAATTATTACAGGTTAAAACAATTATTTCTGAGGAAACGTATTTGAATGATCCTCCGGTGTGACAATTGTTTTTTTCTGAAAATGTCAACAAATAATTTTGGATTGATCTTGACTGCATGAAGATCAAATTAGCACTTTCTTTGCAGGTGCTTCTCATTGTGTGCAAAAACAGAATTTTGATGGTGTCTATGCTGTTGCTGTCACCTGAACTCCTCTTGATTTAAGGTCCAAATGCTGTTCTTTATACATAATGTTAAAAATTGGGGAGATTTTCTATTCTCCCCATGCACGGCGAGGTCAGAGGTCAACCACAGCACAGCAACATCAGGGGGTGGCTTAAGCTTCTGTGCCTTGTTTGGGGATACTTTAGCTTGGAGGATGATTCATCCTTGGTTCACCATTAGAAGGAAAGGCTTGTTTTTTCAGTTTTTTGAAGGCTCTTGATTCTGCATTTATGGTAGAAAAATTAGATTTGGTCCATCAGAAGTCATTGATAGTTTGCCTTGTCATAATTCCCAGTGTCTCCTGGCGCTGATGTAACTGGCTTTTTGTGGATTTTGGTAATTTAATTTTGTCTTTGAGGTTTCAGACAGATGGGTGCGGGCTGAATTAATATTCATTTCAGTCCCTCAGTCCTAAGCCTGATAATTGGTAACAGACGTGTCTGTGTGTGAGTGTGTGTGAGTGAGAGAGAGAGAGAGAGAGAGAGAGAGAGAGAGAGAGAGAGAGAGAGCTGAGATCTGTGCGTTCAGGGATTCCGGGTAGCTTGCTTGACAAAGAGACGTGCTTAACCACGTGCAGCTTCAGCAATATTGCCACGGGCTGCTTTATTATCACACATATACATAAACTCAGACGACATGCAGATGCAAGCACACACACACACACACACACACACACACGCACACACTTTACTTGTGTTTTGCCATAGCCTATAGTCAGCCATGTGTGATAAGTGGCCCCAGGCTTCTTAGTTCCAGAGGCTGCAGATGACTTCTGTGGGCGACCACCTATCTCTCCCTGAGGTCCCGTCAGTCTGAGCCTAGCCATAGACCACAATCCCTGTGCATGAAAACCCTCCCTTCTTTAGTCACGCTGGTTCGGTTTGTGGGGAGAGTGTTTTGATCGTGATAGCACAATTGAGAAAAAATTGTGGAGTATAGAACGAGCACGCTATAATCAGTTTGATGCGTTTTCAAATTAACTTCTTTTGCACTGCCTTTTGAATGCACTGCATACACTTGCAGCAAGCAGGCTCTGTCTTGAGTGCAAGAGTGACTCATTTTTCTTTTTCGTTTTGTTTCACCCCACAAATGATGATCTGCTATAATGTTGTTAGTTCAGCAGACGTGTGACGTGTGCGACCTGATAAACAGCCAAGTTTCAAGACCATGCAGCACACAGGAGTGAAAGCCCCAGCGCCTGTTTGAGTGGGTGGTAGAAGAAGTCAAGTATGTTGCGGCGTAGCGCTAGGATCGCGCACAGGTTCAAAGGGAAAAAGAATAACAACTGTAGCTCTCAAGCAAAGTCAGTCAGCCCTGAAGTAAGGAGGTGTGTCCCACTGGGTGGAGTGGGCAGGGCGTTATCATCTGTTCAGCACTAGAAGAGGGCAAACCAGAGGAGAAGAGCATCAGAGGAGACGTGAGCTGAAGGCATGCGTTACTTTTTTATGTTGAGAATTAGTGTGTAATTTTCTCTGCATCTTGTGCAGAGATGAGTTTCCAGCATGAGGGGCAAGAGTTTGATTTCAGCTATGTGTTTGAGTACAGCCAAGGTGTCCAGAATGAACCTGAGAAAGGTGGGTACAGTGGAGGGTGTCTTTTCTTTTTTTGTATGTCCTGTATATTGTACAATGCGAGGGCACTCCTCTGTACTGGGATCAGAAATGTTATGTTCTATGCTTAAAAAAAAAAAAAGGCAGTAAAAAGGTCTGCATTTAGCCAAACAAAAGCTGACTAGTTTTATTCGAATTTCATTTTAACATCCTCTGTGTTGTGTTAATGTTTGTCAAAAGTGTCCGAGGCTTCACTTAACTTGTGGTATATTGAGGTTGTCTGATGCACGGCGCATAATCACCTCTGAAAATAGACAATCATAAACTAATTTCAGACTTCCCACCCACACATTATGTGGTGTGTGACAGATTCATCATTTCATGTGATGCACAGCGTTGTGGTTAACAAATATAGTGCGCTGCATCAAGGGGAATGCCCTTCCCTGGGTTTGTGACTGAACGGTTGTCATTCTTTAACCACTTTTACCCTTATTGACATTCTCAATTAAAAGGCTGACATTCAGTTTACAACTTGTGATGCAGCAGCCGGCCGCCACAAGGCCAACCGGAGTGGCATACCTGCTAGGCTACATCTGCTTACACTGACCAAGTTTGTATGTCAATGCACTTGTCTGCCAGTGATCTCCTTGTGCGCTCGCTTGTGCGTGCCCTTTGTTTGTGTGTGTGTGTACCATGGCGCATCTGTGTGCAACGCTGCAGCAAACTCTCTTTGACTTAATCACAAGCTCAGAGCGATGCGAGAGTGCTGTCAGTTTTCCACAGGGGAGGGCCTAATTCACTCAGTGAGTGATGCAATCAATCAAATAAGGCATCCATCAGCGCTGCTGGAGGAATTTCGTGTAGAGTACATATGACAGCAGGGAGTGCCAAATAGAGCCTTATATGAACTGATCAAACAAACAGACTGGCAGTGCAACTTGCGACTGCACAGCAACCACATACAGTAAATGCTTGGAGATGATTGCTAAGCTTCTCCAGATGTTTATAAAGAAGGGAGGCAGTCATTCGCCGCGGGACACATTGGTAAGATTTGTGTAGGGGTATTGTTCTAAAATGCAATCATATTTAATTGCCACCATAATGTAATGGTTCTGTGCTTTTGCAGTGGTTTGTTGTCATATACTAGACCCTCCATATACTTACAATATGCTTTTTTCTTTTCAGATGCATATAGCTACACACCAAATGTTAGCTTGTCCCTTCCACTGGGAATGGGCAACCCTTGTCTGGCCACCCAGTACCACACTTTACAGTCCAGCCCAGTCATCTCAGTTTCCACCTGCCACCAGACAGGCTACAGCCTCCAAAATGATAACCACGCAGCATCAGGTTATTACCTGCCCCAGGGCCTGAGACCCAATGGGGCCCCGGCTTTGGAAAGCCCCCGTATTGAGATCACTGCCTACAGCCAGTATCCAGAGGATGAGGTAGAAGAGAGCAACAGTGAGGACCACATCATCAAGCGAGGCGTCAACTCCATCGTGACGCTGACGCTGCCCAATGGTGATGGCTACCGCGACCCCAGCTGCCTCAGCCCAGCAAGTAGCCTTTCCTCTCGTAGCTGTAACTCAGAGGCGTCCTCTTACGAGTCAGGCTTTTACAACTACGACAACTCCCCACAGAACTCTCCCTGGCAGTCCCCCTGCGTTTCTCCCAAAGGCTCATCTTCGCTCATGTCTTGCCCACATGCCAGCGGTCCTGTAGCTTCCCCTCACCATTCACCCTCCACCTCCCCTCAGATAGGAGCCGTGGCCGAGGAGGGCTGGCCGGCACAACCCCGTGGCTCCAGGCCTAACTCCCCCTCGTGCAGTGGAGGCGGCGGAGTCAACAACGGCGGCATGGGGAAGAGGAAGTACAGCTTCAACGGCACCACCTACCGTCAGACATCCTGCTCACCCAACCAGTCGCCCACCACTCCATCCCCACACGGCTCCCCCAGGGTCTGTGTCACAGATGAGAACTGGCAGGCCAACACCAACCAGTACACCAATTCTGCCATCGTGGCCGCCATCAACGCTCTGACCACAGATGGAGTAGTAGACTTGGGGGAAGGGATCCCAATCAAGACACGGAAGACCATGCTGGACCACTCCATGAGCCTGAAGTTGGATCCCGACGGGGAGCTCTGCCATGAGGATTACCCCTCCCGTCTGGCCCTCAAGAAGGAGAGCTACTGTGGAGGGTTCCTGGATGTGCCCCAGCATCCGTACTCCTGGTCTAAACCCAAGCCTTACCTCAGGTAGGTGGAGCCGGTCCAGCAACTCAGTATTACTGTAACAAAGTTAAAGCATACAAATCCAACCAGTCAGTGTGAAAGCCCACCCATTGGTCTTGAGAAGACTATAAAGCACACACAGGTGTTTACTTATTTAAACAGACACATTCTGCCGAAGGAATGCCTTAACATTTTTCAGACAGTGCAAAGGAAAAACAAATCATCCAATAATGCCATTACTTTGCCCTGTTTTTGCGTTTTAGTTTCCATTTGCTAATTTATTGCACGGACAAGATTTCAGTTTTAGTTTTTAATCTTCAAAGGCCATATCAAAAGGAAGAAATCCAAAAGTTGCATGCCCTTCACTTCCAAAGGAGTTCTCTTTGAAGATCAAAACTATTTCATAAATCAAATTTCACAGGGTGGAGTTGCCCAGCATCTGCGTGGCACTGTTGCCATAGCAGCCCTCACACAAACATAATAACTCATATAGACACATTCACACAAATGCACACGAGTATGCACTCAACTATATCATTGATTTAGACTTTTGAGCAAAACAGGCTTTTTCATTTTCAATTGGCTCCGTCATGGCATTTTTCCCAAGCCAATAACACAGTCTCCAGGCGGAAATCAAGTGTTTGATTAAGATAGTGAGCAACAGGAAGTAATGGTGACAGGCCTGACTGAAGGGGAAGCAGTCTGTGGGTTAATCAGCCGGCTGGCTGCCGTGGTCTGTAGCACCATCGGCCCATCTCTCTCTGTGTGGCTAGCCTGATGTCATGCCCTGACTGGGCAGATAAAGCCCCGCGGGGGGAAATCAGTTCGTTTTGGGTCAACAAACAGCCCGCAAGTTCCACAAAGATGCCAGAGATTGTTTTCAGCTGAGCCACCCTCCGGGTCAGGGCTTTGCGTTTACCAGGCATCCGGCATAGCGAAATATTGTCTTGCACATGTTTGTTTTGGTTTAGATATCTCCACGGTGTTCACATGGGAAGCTCTGACTCTCCATCTCAAGAACAATGATGTTAAGGGAGGCCAGCTGCAGCTCTGAGAAAGAGATATCATGCAGGGTGTACTGCTGACCCTATTCCATGGTATAACTCCATCTATTGTCTTAAAACGACCGTGGCTGTTCTTTAGGATGATACAGCTATCAATTAGGAATTGATAATTGTATCAAAGGACAGGCGGATTGCCATTTTGTGTGAGATTTGTTTCTGTGCCCTAGAAATGTCTTTTCTCCCACTGTCACTTTCTTAACTCCCATCTGTCACACCATAATACCAAACACACCGCTCTCTAACCAGGGCACATTCTCGTTTATTTTTCAAATATAATGGCCGAGGAATTCCACACGTATAAGTGAATTACAGTCCATGATGAAACGGAGAAGGAGAAGTGTCCTAATTTGAGGCTAATTTAAAGCAAGTTTTGAACTTTTTGATTCCAGTGATGGAAACTGTGGAAAAAATGCAACCTCACAATTCGTTCTCTGGCAAATCCAATGTGACCACAGTTTTAAGAATAGAATCTAATAAAATTGAGGGAACAAAAGCTTCTTTTTAATTTGTTTTTATTATAAGCTACTTGGAAATGCATGTCACAGCAATTCCTGTTTTTCAGCTAAATTAACCAGACACCAAGTGTTTAGCAGAAAAAGTGTTTGTCCTTCCCGTAAAAGTTGATCCACTGTTGTATCAATCAGCAGTAGAGTAAGAAACAAGAGTGTGTTGTAATTTTGATCCTAATAACAATGTGTCATGTTATTGCAGTCCATCTCTGCCAGCTCTTGACTGGCAGCTTCCGTCCTGCTCCGGCCCGTACAACCTACAGGTCGAGGTGCAGCCGAAGTCCCACCACAGGGCCCACTATGAGACCGAAGGCAGCCGAGGGGCGGTGAAGGCGCTGTGTGGTAGCCACCCTGTCGTACAGGTATGTCACCGGCACTGTGTTAGCCAGCGGGTGGTTTGTAGATTCACTGTACACACTTGTGTTTATCAGAGACAAGGTTAGCTTTGTGTTTGATAATCTGCTGTCATTACAGCATATGTGGTAACAAGCAGAGAAGTGCATACATGACTGATTAATGGAGCTTTTTTTCTGTCCAACAACAAGCTAGTGACATGGAAGTTTGGCTGTTGCTGACTTTATGTGATCTCAGAGCAAAGTCAGAGCAGCCATGACCTTTCGTTCATTAGTCCAGACACTGACATTCTCTTGCTTTTTCTATTTATTCATTTATTTTTTTACCGAAGAAATCTTTAAATCAGATTTGAGTGGTCAGTTTTAGTTTATTTCTGAATTATGTGATGTACTTTCAAATCTATATTATCTGCAAAAAGTCTTACAGCTCATTCTGCAGAATTAAAATGTGACGAAAAAAACATTAGTAAATGGATGTACTACTGCCTTCATCTATTAAAGTTTGCATCAGAAGATTAGATGTAAGGGATTTTAAAAAACGTACAGAATATTCAACATGTCATTAAATTAGCGCTGCTAACTTGTCAGGCAAAGTAAGGAGATCTCAAAAGCCCTCACCACTGTCCATATGTTTCTGCATGTTGCTGTATGCCGTCTTATTAATGTTCCCTGAAGCCGGGAGTCAATCTACTGCTGCAAAAAGCAGCAGCAGTGCATGCTGACTCAATTAGTATAGAGCAGGACCATCGCCTCTCACTATTGTGCTTGGCGAACATGCAAAGAGCACACGTCAGCCTCACCACAGCAGCACAGCACAGAGCTCCTTTCTCTGCTACACTGTCATCACACTGCGCTGACATCTTGGTTTACTTAAGGTGGGGATCTAGCGGCGTGTGTGTGTCCTTTAATGCCGTCAATTCGAAATGAAACTGCATTCATACTAATAACATACAGGGGCATTTATTGATGAGGATTTTGTTGCAGACTGGATCTTTAAAGATTTCAGGTCGCAGATTTCAGTTTCAGGTTGGTGGTCCGTCCTTGTCACACACTTAGGCATTACCACAGCTATTGTGCAAATAGATGTTCTCAACACATCCCGGTCTGCTCGATGTCAAACGCACTTGACAACTGTTGGCCGACATGATGTTATAAGCAGGCCTGTCTCTGTGCATATAGGTAATTATTCCCTTTCATTGCAAACCTTTGAATGTCCACATGTGGACGAATCAACATCTCTCCCTCGCACCTCCCCGATGAGGCTGAACAGACTCGGCTTGCCGTGCACAGCTGTGGCAGGTGAGGCCGGTTTAGATTTAGTTCACACCGCTTTCTGACTCACTCAGGGGGCCGGAGTAAAAATAAGTCATATGTAAGCGTCCTGTGTGTCTTTTGCATACACCCTGTTGTCCACATTTACATCAATGGCCCGGGTTGTTCATTTCATATGACACAGACACCAATTCATTGGCAACTTTGCAAGGATGTTTTCAAGTCTTACCGTCTGTGTTATCCAATTATTGGCGCGTAGTAGTCATGGAGAAAATATGATAACATCTGTTTTACCGTCACACCTTCCCCGTACTCGCATAGCTCACACTTTACTCTTACTTTTGGGTGAGGAGTGATTTATGCGTCTGATACTGCATGTGCATTCAATCGGAATATCTCGAGGGTTTCATCACAGTTCAAACCACTGACACAACGATAAATCTACAATGAATACGCAATCATGTGTACATGCTAGAGGGTATACTGTAGAAAAAGAAGAAGAGCATGTGCGGTATCTTCAGGGAAGTTCTTTGCACAGTTTGGAGTGCAACTCATAAATCTGACTGCCTCTCGCTCTCCGTCGCTCTCTTACTCTTTGTTGTAGTGTTGGGTGAAATTGCGTTGTCGTGGAGGATAGAGCATGCTGTAGTCCCCGGTACCCTGTGGTAATGGGTGGCAGGATGGGTGAGGTGCAATAATGGCACAGGGACACGGGTGTAGGAAGCGGCGAAGGAAGTGTGTGTGTGTTTGTGCTTAAGACTGGAGTGATTAGAGAGGGAGAGAGAGGGAGAGAGAGGGAGAGAGAGGGGGGCAGAGGGAGTCACCAGGCAGCTGGGGCCTGGCTGGGCTGCCCCTGGAGATGCTCTGCATCCTGCTGATTAGGGCCTCGGTGGCACCGAGGTTGGCTGAAGTCGTGGTGGGGGTGGACAGTCAGAAGTCAGAATCCCAGCACCCATCGGACGCCACCTCCCCTTTCCATGCACCGGTGCCTCCCTCCCTCCCTCCCTCCCTCCCTGGAGGGCCTGAGGATGTCACTCCTTGTGATCCGCTCATCCTTCAACCATCTCCCAAACCCACACCAGCAGGCCTCCCTCGGTTGAAGCCCAGTCATCCACAGCTCTGTTGTTTTGTTTTTTTAAGCTCATGGATGATCAGACATGTGCGCTGTGAGTGATGGTGACATGTGTGTTGGAAAGCAACAGCGGAGGAAAAAAAACAACAAGATGAAAAACATGAAGGGACACATTGTTTCTACAGTTTACAGTTTCCCCCCCAGGAGAGACGGCGACTGACAGATAATCAAACCAAGACGCCCAACTGCTCAATTACTGTTGTTGTCTTGCTACTTGATAACAAGCAGAGGTGTTTTTTCTTGGAAAGTTTATCATCTGTAAGGTCTGACATCACCCTGAGCTGCAGCAGATGAACCGCAACACATCCAGTGTGGTCCCCCAAAGCACCCACAGCGGGGCTAGGAGAATGGAGTGTGTGTGTGCTCCGGCCACACACTGATGAAAACCTCTAGATCATGGGTTACCTCGACTCATTACCCTTCTGCTGCTTGCGCCGGCTCTCTAAGCTTCCTGCTCCGAATCTCCGTCATTTATTCTGGACTCGCCCTCCTCCGCATCCACGGCCTTTTAACCCTCCTCTATCCCGATTGGTCTTACTTTGTGACCCCCGTGTCTGCTTTTCCACTTTATTTACTGCGGCAGACCACAGCACCATTAAGGGGATCTCGGCTACTCTATCGGCTCCAGACTCTCCTTACTCTCACCACAGCTATGCCAAACGTCCACAGGATAGGGTAAAAAAAAGTCTACCTTCACTAAGAATGTAACCACAACATTGATTGATTGGGGTAAAAGGTGAAAATGTGCTCAATAATTTTTTTCACTGAGAATATATTGACCGAGGACGTGACCCGGCTCTGATCTGAAATGCGGGTTCAGCGGAAGACGTTGCAAAGTCATTTCTGGTTCAACCTCAGTCAGGAAACCCACAGACATCTGCCAGACCTTTAGTAACATCAGACAGCAACACCTGTGGAGTATTAAACCCATCGCACAGCGTGCTGCAAAGTCCTGCATATGGCTTATTGGTATAGGATAATGACTGGCCTATAGGGCTTTACCCCTCACGCACACACACACACACACTCGGCCTCTCATTAAGTCTAAAGCAGCAACAGACACGGTGTAATTTCAACAGGATGTGGCCATCGTCCCTATTAACGTGTGCGTGACTTAATACCCATCTCCCTTCCTCTGCAACTGTATGTAATGCACATCAAATTCGCAGTATGTTTCCGCCACGACGACATGAAAGACCTTGGCAAAGATGTGCTCGGTCCTCCGCATGTGCGGTTTCACCTTGGGATCCGGCGCTCGCTGGCTGCGTAATGTCTCGATGAAAAAAAAAAGAAAAAAAATCCCCGATCTGCAGCATCCTATACTGTAGCTGCTAATTGCTCGTTAAATCTACTGCCGCCTCTTGTTTGATATTCAAAAGCCTCGGCGTACCCTGTAGTGCTGTTAGAGCTTAGTCAGGGCTGTTATTCGTTGCCCAAAGGGGTATTTATCCCACTCTTAAATTGTGGTTCTCCATCTGCGGAGCTTCCCTTACACTGGTGTTGGGCTACCACTAATTACCGGTTAATAGCACGTGGAAAAAAGTGCAGCGAAATGTGCGTCGTTTTCACTGGTTTGAGGTGATAACCAGACAGCCCGCAGATTTATGAGGTAAGACACTGGTGGGTTAGTCATGCCGTTGGAGGGGACAGAGCGGTCATCCGTGCATCATCTTACTCAAATTCTCTGTAGGGCGATAGGTCTTATGGCGGGATGTGCTGGTAATATAGCCATTATTTTTTACGTGGAATTTGGACCCTCGCTGGTCTAGACATGGGCTAGAGCTTGAAACTGTGCCCTCAATGACATAACACCGAAGTGCTCGCTTCAAAAAAAACTTTAGCTGCCTGGTTGCTTATAAAAATAAGAAGCAGCTTTTGGAGCTATGGATATGCAGCACATTAAAGGATTGCATATGTTGCCTGATGCATTCAATATGTGGGACTGGAGACATTAGCGGGGCAGGAGGGTGATGGAGTAAAGTCTGGAAGGAGAGACAACTTGGACGAGTGTACATTTAATTGGATACAGCACAGGCTGGCCGTGGGACTGTCAGCACTTGACAGAAAGGGGGGGGGGGGGCGTGATAATGGGAAAAGGCCTGAATCTGCTGTTGTATTTCTCCTCCCTTGCTTCAGTTCCCCCCCCCCACACACACACACACACACACCCCACACCCTCCTTTGCTGCTTCCAGTCGTCTTCTGCCTCTCCTCTCCCCTCCCCAATTCTCTGCGCCACGTGGACCTCTACGAGTCATGACATTTCTCCAGGCAGTGATGAAATCACTGCAGGCCTGTAGAGTTTATTCACACTCAATCTCTTGCCAGGCCAGACACATCTAATTTACCGGCAAGTCATTATTAAACAATGCATGTTGAAGTCTTTGAACTACTGAGGCCAGGTGTATATATATATATATATATATATATATATCAATCAGTTCAAAAGCAAGCCCTCTGTCATTATTTGATCACAGCCGATTTTCAATGATTGAAGCAAAGAGAGTTAAGAAAAGAAAAAGGAAAAAACATTGGGGGCTGTATCCCAAGGGCTGTAACTTTCGATACAGATGATGGATCTTTAATGGCCCAAAGGCACCGGGAGATGAATGGTGGAAAGTGCATGGGATGAACCCACCGCTCACTTTTTTCAGCTCGACACCCCGTCCACATCATCACAACTGACCCAGACAATACAGCTGCGTGCAATTACGCAATTAATGCATCATCTGCCGTATCCACAATGTTTCACTTGAGCCTCGGCTATCAGAAATGGCTCGCGCAGAGGCGGCCTGCGGTGGGAGGTGTAAATGGTTCTAGCTGACACAGTGGCAGAAGTTGGCACCCAGAAACAGCTGCAAATCAAGCCTGGATTCGAACTCGGTTTAGATTATCTCAAAATAAATATACAGTGCGCGTGCCAGATAGGCTGCAGTCACAGCTCGGAAAGCTCATCTGGACAAAATTTGCTGCGCTCCGGTCCAACCTCACAGTCTGCATTAGACACAAATACAAAGTTGAGGTCACAGGTAGGTGTGTGTGTGTGTGTGTGTGTGTGTGTGTGTGAAGCCTCTGTTGTCAGCCCATACTTAAAGTTTATGACACTGTCTCAACATTTTTCTCATCTTATTCCCCCTTTGAGAATAAAATGAAGAAGTAAGTTTTGTGCTCTGCTTGTGGTGTGCATTTGAGGAAAGCATCACAGAAGCAAAGGGGGGTCTCAGTGACGGGGTCAGAGGAGCACATATGGTAAAGGAGTCAGGGGAGGTTGCCCAGGGGGAGACTAGACCGCCTTCCCTTTGCTGCTGGGAAGACCACCATCACCAAGAGGACTACCTGACCTCATTAATCACTTCCTCTCCTGCGTGAGGTCACCATGGGTTTGAGCACGGACGCTACCGTCATCGTGCGCTACCGCAAGACGAGCGAAGGGATAAAGACCCCCTCCCTCCCTCCCTCCCTCCTGCCTCTCTTGTGGGCCTCCTTACTGCCACGTGTCGGCTGATGTAATGGTTGGAGGTCACCGAGACATCCGAAGAAGTCTACTGAGGCTAAAGTGACAGACGACACGGCTTTGTAGCGCGGCTGCCTGCGTTTTATTAAATCACAAGGAAACGTCATGCAATTTAACGCTCCGGCGTCTCAGATTTGTACCTCATGCTCCACCGTAGCGCTCTCACGAGTCAATACACAAGTAACTGGTAGCATGTGTGGCTATGGATAATTACCACTGGTGACACCATAAGTAAAATATAACAAGCAGAGCGGGGTCTGCCGGTGAGATCACCACATAGATGAAGTGGTCCCTTGGGATGCCAAGACTTCAAGAAGCCCCTGACCTCGGCCTAACTCACTGATGACTAGCATGTGTGACTAGCTCGCGGGTCAAGACAGCTGCTAGAGACACTACGCGGAGCTGGAGCGAAAAATAGGATGGTTGGAACTGCAGATGAACAACAGCTTTAGCTTCAACACTCCCTTTGCACTTCCTTGAAATCTGAATCAAAGCAGAGCACGATAAGCACTGGCTGCTGAGAATATTGAGACATATGGATATACAGTATATGCTCGCCTCCGCTGCCCAGTCACATCCTATTTTTACTCAACATAATTAATACTGAAAATTGCTCTAATTGGGAGAAAAATAACACATCATCTGCCTTGTCCCAAATCTAAAAGATCTGTCATCAAGTACAGACCAAAGGGGTTTAATCGTCATGTTTATTATCAAGCCAGACAACGTTTAATACAGTACCCAGACAAATTAGTTCTCAATCCGAAGACACTAGGTGTCCATGACACTCCAGCACTAATTTCCACAGGCTACTAATGACGTAGCTCTCCAGTCCTCCACCGACCTACCTCTTCCTCACAGCCCAATCTCTGACCGCCCTCACAAAGGTGATTATAAACCCATTAATCAGATTATGTCATAGGCTACATGTGGTCTGCATTTTGTTATATGACTCAGTGTCTTAGGCAAACAACGGGGGGGCTTTTATTCCATCCGACGCTACCACTGCGTTCACTCGGATTGAGCTGAAAGAAAATTGGTCAGAAGCGATGCGCTGGTGTGCGCTGGGGTAATTGACCAATTTGTGGGATTTTTTTTTTTAGATGGCCATGGTTTGGTGAGCCCTGGTCTACTGTAAGTGATCTCTCACAGTAAATGTCATATGCGGTCAAGCAGCCACCTGGGCGGATCCAAAGAGGTCCACCCGTTGAGAAGTCAGCCCTCTCGGATTTTTCTCGGTTTGAACCAGATTGATTTTGCAGTTGTCTTTGTAGACCTGGAGAGATTTTTGAGTCCACACAACACATCCGCACATTTGACCATATGACCACTTTGCACTGCACGGAGCGAGCGGGATCCTGGGAGGTCTGCAGCGTAAGCCTAAGTTCCACCAGAAATCCACATTTGGTTGGCAAATTATTCACAAGGTATCAGTTGACCTTCACCACACGTTGGAATTCGCAACCCTGCCTCATATTTTTGAGCCATTATACACTTGGTTAAATCATCAAATAATGTTACTTTAGACACTGTCAGAAAATGATCCAGGGATGCTGAATGTAAATTGGCAGTTGCACTCAATATTTGAAGTGGTGTTGACCCCAAAAAGTCAACAGTGCTTTTCAAACTACGCATGGCTACGGAGCTTTTTCTTCTCTTTTTTAAAAGATTTGATGTTTTTATTACTTGAGCGGTAGCAGCTAATGGAGGCCTTCAAGAGGAAGTGGTAGTTGTTTGAAGTGGTGGTTCTGATACAGGACTCTCTTTCATCACAGTGGGATACTGTCTCTGCGCTTTAATGGAAATCATAATGCATGTTCATAACTGCCCAAAGGTAAAGGACTGGATCCCGTCTGCATGCCAAGCCCCACATAGTGTTTTGGTGTTATTAAACTGAGGTGTGAAGTTCGCTGAATTTCGCGACTACCGTACCCATAAAGACACATTTATTCGACTCTAAATGTATGTTGGTAAATGTCAGAGAAAACAGAATTATTGAACACGCGTGCATTTTGATTTACATTTTATTTTACATTTTATTCACACCAATCATTTCAAAGTACTGGTTGTCAATGTCTTTAGTTTCATTGAGTTTAAACTTTATAGCATCTCACCTTGAGGCAGACCTGAGATGATTGCCCTGGTTATTTTGTCTCTGTAAGGTCACTTTCCACTGAGTCTCTTTGAAGGCACTTTTATTAACAGCAGCAATGCCATTTTCAATAGATCTGGGAAGCCGGCATCTCCATCAGCCTCCATGTCTCCGTACAGAGGATCCCTAACCCCAGACAGACTCAGAGACATCCCAAAACGTTTTTCTTCACCCACCCCTAAAGGAATTTAGAACTAGCTAAAAAAGGACAACAAAGACCACTAAAAACAGGTTTCAAAGACACAAACAAAGACAAAGGGCTTGTTTTTGCAGCAGCTCTACCATGTCAGAGCTATCATTAAAAGCCCCTTTAACCATCAGGAGCCGATGGGCATTCAATCTCTATTTCCTAAATGAGGGGTCGCCTGAGATGGAGGTCTTAAAAACCTGATGTTGCCTCTCACCTGGGTCCCTTTGTTCTCCCGCCAGCTTTATGGCTACATGGAAAGTGAGCCGCTCACCCTGCAGCTGTTCATCGGGACCGCAGACGACCGCCTCCTGCGACCACATGCCTTCTACCAGGTTCACCGCATCACTGGCAAAACCGTCTCCACCGCCAGCCATGAAGTCATGCAATCCAACACCAAAGTTCTGGAGATCCCTCTGCTGCCTGAAAACAACATGAGAGCCATGTGAGTGCCCTTAGACCTTCACAAGTCGCCTATCAGTCTTTTACTTTCGACTCTCTTCACCAGTAACTCTTTTCTTTAAAATGCACCCACAATAACACACACTGGCTTCTTTCTCTCAGCACTTTCCTCTTTGCTTAGGTTATACAAACAGAATTCCCGATGATAGGTTTACAGCACACACTTCTGAATAGGCCTTCAACAGTGAGAGCCGTGCTTTGACTCCCAGAGATGCATGATTTCTAAGGAAATGAAATAGGCACTTGGGTGACTTAGGACTCTAAAATTGAGAGGCTTGCAGTTGTAAAGTAAATGTTTTACGAGGAGCACTCACGAACGTTTTGTGGGGAATTTTTTGCCCAAATAATAACTTAAAAAGTAACAACCGGACTAGAGCCATGAATCGCTGAGAGACACATGGTTGTCCAGTAGGATGTAGTCCCATTACATAAGGCCTGGCCAATATTTGCCAACAAGTTGAATGTATTAGAACACCACTACTGAAGTAAAAGCTCTGCTGAAAGGAATTCCGCACCCCAAAATTGTGATCCAGAAATGTTTGATGCTCACAATTTTTCCCTTAGCCCTGTGGCTTGCAATGTGCAATAAAACAAAAAACTGGCACTCATCACAAACAGAACTTGAAATTGTGGTAGACATTTAGCAATAGCAAAACAATGGCAATTAATATCAATTAAAATGTATAAAGGAATAAAAAGTGCACAAAATCACTCTTGGTGAATAATTACAATCGTGAATGCACACATATGCTTATTAAAACCCAAGTAAATATAGGCCTTCATAGCAGACATTTTGACTTGCCATAGTAGGAACAACACAGGTGTTGCCAATAGCAGTAACGATGGTGGTGTTCAATTCAAGTGTCCAAGTAAGCCATGAAGGTGTGAGGAACTATAGGTAATCTAAATTAACACCAGTGGCAGTCTGTAACACTATGCCTAAAAATAGACTATGTGAGTGTAAGTACGAAAAGTTTGAAAACTTCTGAATCCATTTGAAAGCTGTTGTGCTTGATTCATATCCACTAACAAACAGCAGCATTGTTAACCAACTCCGAAGCCCTTGAAGGTTGTGCTAATGCACAATTTGCCGTTACCTGATTAAATTTGCTAATATGAATGTGAGCAAACATTTGTGTTCAGCATAAGATGAGCTCGCCAGCAAGCTAGGTTTCTTTGCCAGTGAGGAAGGCTGTCTGCTCCTTTTGACTTCCTGTGGTCTGTGAGCTCAAACAGAAATGAACAGACACATTTTACTTTGTGAAAGAGTGGAACTGCCCGAAGTCCTCTCCTAAATACGACCTTAGTCTACCTTTAAAAAGAAGTTAGCATCGGTTTGTAGCCTGAGGTAAATCAGCCTTGGCCTCTCTCTTCCTCCAGTCCTGCAGTAGGGGCCTGTGCTCTGCAGTGTGTCCAGGCAGTAGCTCCTGTCCTGGGGCTCCATTCAGACTAAGCTGCAGTGGATTTTGTTGGACTGGGGCCCAGAGCTCTGTGTTATGGATAAAACCGCTGTATCCGAACATAGGTTACATAAGACCGTTACCTCTTACTGCGCCTCAGGTTTATCCTACTGGTTTGAAAAATGTAAAATACGGATTAGTTATGATTTAATGAATCTCTATTTTCTTGGGACATTTTTTCATGATTGTTGAAATGCAGGAGATTCTGAATATATTCATAGGACATAAGAGTTTCCTGACTGGACAGTGGCCTGCTTTTGCTGTGCATGGGTGATTTTAACATCCATAGGCTACCGCCTTACAATATCTTTTCCAACGATACCACAATATCCCTTATATTGTATCACATTTAGGGGCGCCCCTCACCCATTTGACTTAACGCGTCCCTTAGGATGAACACGATATTGAAAAAATATTTGAGGAGGAAGTTTCTGTTCCCCTTTGTCGTCAGCGCACACGCTAAAGGAAGAGGAGTGAAAGTTCTCTCTTTCTCCCCTGACTGTCTGAAAGGTCAATGAAAAGCCGTCAGCTGTCTCTTTCCACTGAGCTGTTTAACAGTCGTCTTGATAACGCAGCATCCATCTCCCTGCTCTCGTGCCAGCGATCATTGCTCGCTGTGTGGGATGCGGACAGTCGAGAACTGCAATCAAACTTTCAGACAGTTTCAATCAGTCTTTCTTTCCTACTCTTGGAAAATCCATCTCATGCACGTACACCTACAGTAGCTCAATTTAAAGTAATGTGCATGCTTCTACAAATGAATATACTGCATGATCATAAATACATGTAACCTAATCACTAAGGGGATGCTTAGAATAGGTTTTTGACTGTTACATCTACAGTAACTATGAAAGAGTTGTTTAATAGCTCACATATTGAGCATGTCTAGTCTAAACATTTCCTTGCTGGAGATTCATCCTGTGTTTGTTTTAAAACTGCATGCATCACACAACACTTGCATCATGCGAGGCTGATAAAGAGTGGGTAGCCAGCGTTGCATATCGTTTTTTTTTTATTATTTATTCAAATTGTCCAAACCAAAGTAAAAGGGGAGAAATGGATTGGTATAAAACCTGACATTTACCCTGTTCCAGGAATAGTGCCAAAAAAGCTACCATGTAAAATAACAGAAGTGCCAAACCATATCCTATTCGTATTCGCTCACTTTTTTTTTTACCAGCCACACTAGTTTTATTTAAATTCATGAAAGGCCACGTCTGAAAATGAATGCCTTTTTTCCACTAAGAAAAGGGAAAGAAAATTCACCCCTTTTGCCTTCCAAATTGTGAAATGAAATAAAGACAGACAGCTTAGAAAAGAGTCTATTGCTACACGTGGCAATGATTAGCAGAGGGTTTTCAACCCTGAACATATGAAGCGTAAGGCTCCAATGGTGTGAAGGGACCGGAGAGGCTTGGTGCGCTCAGCTTAGCAATAAAAGTGACTTTGTGTATACCGGCTGCAGCTGATGGGACTGTGTTTGATGGCGCGCTCAGTCCCGAGGATTCCTCCAGAGAGAGCTGCTAATTCTTGGACCACCGTGACCCTTTAAAAATGTGACGTGAAGTCATTAATGTCCAACTCTGTCTTTGATGACACGCAGTATTAATAACGACGCGGTCATGCTCCAGTGGACCTCCAGAGCTTGATCTGTAACACCAGCGGGCTTCTCGGCACACTGTCGTTTATGTTGAAACAGCCAGAGTCATCAAATTTGCTCCCGTTTCACTTCTTTGTCCATACTCTCTGTTGAAGATCTTATGTTGGGGAGTATCCTGCATGATTACACCAGGTGCAGTAACAGGGAAAGCCAGTTGTTTTGTAGAAGCACACAGGTCTGCCTTAAAACAAAAAAAAACAAAATGTAATTCTTCCATTATCTTGAATATAAAATGTCATCTTTGAAATATGGTGTTAAATTTGACCCTTCCCCGCCTCTGTCCTAGAATTGATTGTGCAGGGATCCTGAAGCTGCGCAATTCGGACATCGAGCTTCGCAAAGGAGAGACGGACATCGGACGTAAGAACACACGCGTGAGACTGGTGTTCCGTGTGCACATCAACCAGCCCAACGGCAGGACGCTGTCCCTGCAGGCTTCTTCCAACCCCATCGAATGCTGTGAGTTGCACAGAAATCAACTGGCACGCCTGCTCTCTTTGCTCGCCACTTAAGGAAAAGGTGGCATCTATTGTTGAAATCCAATAAACCCAGCTGCTGTTTTATTACCTGCTGGAGCAAATTCAGTGCCCCTGCAGCCAATAAGCTTTATGTGATCAAAGCAATTTGGCCAAAGCAATAGATGCATTGTGCGTGATGCCAGACACACGTGTTATCTGTTTCAACTCACATTTTATGACTGAATGCACAAGTTATTGTGGTAAGACTACCCCATTAGCACAGGTTCCACAAAGGTCATTTGCCAGCCTCTGGTTTTGGCATGGTTGACTGAGCGCATTGAAAGAAACCTTTGTGTCTTTGTCATTCATTTGTGAATGAAGGTGTGCTGTTATTTGCACCCAGGAAAGCCAATTAAAGGTAAGAGGTGAGACAGAGCTGGCATTATAGTTTATAGTCTAAAGTAAATGTTAATCTGAGTTGGTTCATCATTACTGAGAAAGGTTTATGCGGTGAATTTAGGATTTCTTTAGCGCGTAAGCGTAAGTTCCCATTTCTGAAATGATGCAGTGGGATAATATATTTAATAGAATAGTTACTCTGGCTGTGAATCTGATCACCAAATCCTAGAGGCTAAAGCCGACTAGCTAGCCACAGTTACAGAAAGCAGAGACAGGTGGTTGGCGATAGGCCGCTCGATGGAAAATACTGACTTAAGGATCAGATCATGAAAATGTTGTTTTGATCAGTCGTCCGCCTTTTTTTGATGTCATTTAAAGTGCAGCTGTTGGCCAAAACCCTCTTAGCTCGAGGTCATGAAATCATCATAATAAAGTTGATAAGTCTGTTTTACTGCTGTTTGACTGGCTGTGTGCCGGGCTTGTGCTTCGTGGAGTGGATGGAGATAAGCCAGTGAGTTTATGTGGGGCTCCTCACACACACACACTGTATTGAAATGTGTGTGTCCCTCTCCCGCAGCCCAGCGCTCAGCTCAGGAGCTTCCACTGGTGGAGAAGCAGACTGTGGATAGTTACCCTGCCACCGGAGGCAAAATGATGCTCCTGAGTGGCCTCAACTTCCTCCCTGACTCCAAGGTGGTGTTCGTGGAGAAGGCCCAGGGTAAGCAGCCGTTACCCGGCCATGTTTACTGCCTCTCAATCTCCCCTCTTAATATCTCTTTTCAAATGTCTCTCTCTCCCTTTTTCCCTCGTCGCATTTCCTCCGTCTCTCCTCCCGTCAAAATAGAGCAGGCCCCGCCAGAGAGCCACATGTGGTGTGCATTAAGCCACTATATTTTTAACCAAAGCGTATTTACATTTGCTGAAGTTTCCATTGCCTGTTCGCTGGTGCTCGCCACAAGTTAAGGAATGAATCACAACCAGGGCATGTGCAACGTCTCTTTCTCTCACTTTCCCTCTCTCCCCTCCCTCCCTCCCCGACTCCCTTGCTTTTGACATTTAACCATCTCGCTTACTCTCACTGCTGTAGCTCCCTCTTTCACCCATTCTACCGGATACTCACCGCGGCAGTGAAGTGCAAAGTTGCAAGTGAATGATCATTTCCTTGATTTCCACCCACTTAATCAAAGCAAAGGTCAAGCACAGTGAAGTTTGCTGAAACACAATGTTGATGAGCGATAAGTAAGGAAGGATGTGGGAGGCATCTCTGATGCTATCCACCAATTGATTAATCATGGATTTCTGGTGATGACTCCTTGTTACACTCAGAAATACTTACACTTTCACATTGACTTTTCCTTTTTTTATTCTAGATTAAGGTCACCAAGAGGTTTTTGGTCAGCGCAGTGAAATAAAAACACAGACAAAACAAGCCCCGGACATCAGAGGATGACCTTCTCTGCATGCCTAAGTGAATGAATAAATGACGTTTTTATTATTGTGTCATGCATGCAACCATGTCCAACTCACATGGGCGTACGAGACACAGTCCTTAAAAGCCAGATTCAATCTGCTATATTTCCAAACAGTACTACAACAAGAAGCCCCAAAATAGAGATATTAGAGTTAACATTTTGATGCAAAATAGACATTTATGAATCTCCCCAGCATACAGTACACGGCAAATGAGACTAGCTTCTCCCAAATCTCATTTCAGCTGTTTACTTGCTATTAACTAGGTAAGAAGGTTAATTAGAAAACTACTGAATTAATTACTTAAATCAATAGAGAATACTTGAAACCTTCATGACTGCTTCAACATAGCTCTTGTAAAATCGAGTCTCAACATTAGAAGGGAAAAGAAAGGCTTCAATAATGCTGAATTTCCCAAAAAATTATAAAAATGTCCTTCAGTGACTTCAAAATAAGACGAGCTAAAACACTTGCACACTCTTAAGCGCCTTAGGGGTTCAGGGATAGGTAGAGATGGGGTGAAGAGAGGTGGATGAACTTGGTAATACGGGGTCTCCCTCCTCCTGGCTTTACTTAGTCATGGAGGGGGATCCCCTTGAGAGGAAAGCCCATACATACACAACACCTCCGCCTCTCCTCTCACTGCTATTTGAGACTCATGACCCCTTCAAGGTTGTGTTACCCTTTTTTCACCCCCTCACTGACTACCCTGGGCTCTCCGTTTCCTCTTATTCTCTCCTTTCACTCCCTCATCCTCCAATTCTTCTTACCTCTATCCTCGATACCCGTTAAAGACATTAGCCGGCGTGGAGCTCTGCGCTAGCGGGATCCCCACACTCGCGCCTGCCATCGACATTTCAGTGGTTTGTTTTCCGTCTCTGCGGTGTGGAGAAGGAGAGAGAGAGAGCGATCGAAAGAGAGGTTGTCTGTCTACTACTTAGTCTGCTTTTATGTAAACTTTAATGACCCACCACTTCCAGGGTCTCCAAAGTCAAAAAGCCCATTACAGACAGAGCAACACACTACACGCATGCACACACACTGGAACGCACACATCACTCACTAATGGCAACTATCTAGGAGCAAGTATGAGTGTGGAAAAGTGCTTATGTCCCGAATATACTGCAAAATATTGTCTTTTGGCATTTTAATCGGAGAATCCCGCTGTTCTATAATGGTTCTCAGACTTAAAATTGCTCCTGTTGATTTAGAAGGACCAAACTGGTATGAGGAAGAAAAAAGAACCCAATAAAATTATAATTATATTACAGATTTCTTCTATAACTTTGGTTTTATTTTCCTTTGGAAAAGTTCATGACTAAATGCACCCATGAAATACAGAGCATTGCGCCGCAATAATTACTAGTCGCAGACGTGTGCTTATACACACAGTGGGACGCGCACATGCGCACACGCACAGCCGAGCTCTTTGTACGGCATGACACCAATCACTTATTTTGCCACAGTGGTGACAGCCATTACTGTTGCTGCCATCAGAGATCAGGACGGCTGCTCATTTTCCAAAATTGACTCCAATAAACACCTTCCAGAAAATTCCACAAATCCTAAGGAGCAACAGACGGTTTTTCGAGTGTCCCAATCCAACTCTTGCCAACGATTAAATGGCCCAAGTCGAGTCAGAGGGAGATCACAAACAGTGCAAAAGCCTATTAGCCCAAATGAGACAGCCATGAATCATAAATACATGTATTTCTTTAACTGTTTCCATTTGCTTTCATACACTCAAGGATGTAGCTGCTTTTAGCTCAAACATACCCAGATGACTGTTTTGGAATTGCCCGCTTTGAAAACAAGAGAAGATTTCAATTCATTATTGGACTCCTAAATAATGGATGACATCAACATTTGAGAGATTGTCCCATTAACAGTTTCGGGTTAAGCGATGAGAACAGGGACCCCAAAATCATCCACTAGTCCTTGGCAAATCATTGACTCAAATCATCAAAATCATCCTAGTTTACACTGGTTTTAGGGGCCTCTGGAATCATCTTAACAGTGAGAAAAGTATTAGCTGCCAGCTGCCAGGGTGGATTTAAGTGATACAGATTTTTTTTTAAAGCTAGAAATCAATCAATGAAAAGGCAAATAGTTAACTCCATCTGACAGTAGGTTAAATTAAATGTTTAAAGTAAGAACTACTTTATGCATCTGCCTAATATTATGTGAGCATACAGTAGTGTGTGCTTGACTAGTACATATTGCACCAGTGCGAATGATCATAGATGGGCAGATTTGTTGTTATCTCTAAAGCAGGAAAAACCCTGCATATGTGTTTTCTTTTAACCTGCTGTACAGTTAAATCATGTCTCTCACTGACACTAAACTGCTTCTCTCCTTCACTCTGTGTTGTTTTGATTGTCTGTCTGCCCCCCCCCCCGAGACGCCCTTAGTATCAAATGAGCAGAGCTCATAGCTGTCACCACTGCGGGAGACCTTAATGCGCCTTGAAAAATAATTACTTATACTTTTCAAATGCCACGTCCATCCCCTCTGCTCCACTTCGTCACCCACAGGATAACTGATGCAAACTGTGTGCCTCCACTGCATGTGTGTGTGTGTGTATGTGTTTGTTGTTGTGTACCTGGGCGCGCGCTTTTGCTGATCGCCTGCGGGCCTGTTTGCGTTGTTCGGTAGGAAGTGTTTTCAGTGAGTCATCCGCAAGGGGTTCCCTGTGGAGGGGTGAAACGGAAAAGGCAAGACCCTCAGAGAGATGAGAAAGAGGAGAGGAAGAGGAGAGGAAGAGGGGAAGCAAACAAAAATGGACAGGGCGTCCTTAGAAGTCCTGTTTGTGACCTTGTGTACTGAGACATCGGAGGGTAGAAGTGATCACATGCTGCTCTCATCTTGACTTGTTTAGTGAACGAATGCCAGGAGTAGGGTCATGTGACTTTTATACAGTGAATAAACTTTATTTATTCCTTCAATGGATGAATCAATTTAACTGTTCTTCCTAGTTTTTTTGTTCATCACAGACCACACATAGAGAGAGGAAATGAATCGGACTGTAGCTGGATAATGATAGACTCAAGAACCTCAAATCCACATCTTTCTTTCTGCTGTAATGTAAACATTATTTTCAATGGTAATTATTGTTGACATGTATTTTTAATAGGCCTTATCATTTTTTTTTCTCTGCCGTGGAGAGTTGTACCCTCCACGTAGCCGCAATGTGGGCGTTTATGAAACTTTCCATCTTTTTTTTTGTTGCATCGTCGTGCTTGGTTTTTTATTATATGTATGTCTTGAGGTTGTGTCAGTGTTTCGGTTTGGCCGAACCGCTCTTTTGGCGCAGGAGTTGGAGGAAATACCTGGCGCACCTATTGCAGTGTGCGTTCTGGCTTGCCCGCTTTCCATGGATGGAATGAGTGCTAGAGGCAGGGAAAATAGAGACAGACAGACAGACGGACGGAGGGAGGGCTGGGGAAAGCCTACACTCTGACTCAGAGGGGAGGTGAGGGAATTCCCTGGTGAGCTCGATAGTTTTTACATCTGGTCGGATTGGAGCGTTGCCGAGAGCTTGGCAGCACCACACACATGCCTGGACTGCAGCAGGGAGAAGTCTGGTCTTCACCTCTGCTTCAGGACCAAGAGAAGTCTGAGCTACAGTTTAATCTGTAACATTAGGACAGAAGAGTCCACAGCAATATCCTTTGGCTATTTCCCTTGTCATGTGGAGACTCCTCAGCAAAAGGGCTGAACTATTTGGATCCTCATGCCTTTTTAATTCGAGGAGCGCAGACCTCACTGTCTGTGATCTGTACTGTTCGAGTTCATTCATAGACTGTTTATACTTCGTTGAACACTTCTACAGTAGACAAGTCTAAACACCAGACTAATCGGTCGATGTATTGTACTTCTAGCGGTATGTCTAGACTGCCCTTTGGCTTCAGGCTAGAACAACCTGCATAATCTTGGCTCATATTTTGCCACTATGGCAGTGTAAGGTCATCCTCCACCCCTGCTTCAGGCTAGAGATTAGAGGAGTGTGAGTTACAGTATCCTGTCTAATTAGGATGATATACTGCACCAAAATCAATGAGTATGTGCAAAAATTGTAGTTCCAAGATGAGCCCTCTAACAGAGCTGGAGGGACTTAACCTCTCATGATCTTTGCCATCCGCCATAAAGCATCGAGTAACTACTGCTGTGCCTGAGAGGAACGGATGGGTCGCTACCCCAAAAGAGCGAACCATGACATACAGTATTGGAAGGAAAGAGCATTCGAGAGCATTTTGATTGCCTCTCAACATGGCGGTGCCCCAGCCGGCGGCTCATAATTAACGGTGCTAAAAGCGCTAACAGTACAAAGTACGGCAAACGACAGAAGTAACAGTGTTTACCTGAGGGTGGACCGGAAAAGCATTTTAGCACCATATGAGAGCGGTGTTGAGCGGCACGCTCATTTGGCTGGCTTAGCCTGTATTATACACATTTTCAGTGTAATGATGCAAAGTTAAACTAAAGTGTCCCGTTACAGGATGAAGCTTATGTGAAATAGTACTGAAAGTTTGCCTCTCAATGCCTCTGGCTCATTAAAACGTATTTCTTTTATGGTGTGAGGTTTCATCAGCAACAGACCAGTGAACTATTTTGGAATGCCTATTCATTGAGCACATCTATACTTCAAAGGGATCATGCCGGTATCGTAACAGAAAGATGTCCCGTGGCCTCCACCCTTTCTTCAAACTTCTCTGAACATGTCCTAGCTAGGGAAGTGGTTCAGATCAGACAGAGGCAATTGTTTCCACTTCCCTTTCTGTGCCAGGTCATAAGAAAATGCCCTTTCCATGGAATAAGTATATCTCGATAAAATATTGCTCAATGCATGGGACTTCGGGTTGACTTTGTCTGCAAATAGTTCAGAGCAGCTAACCGTGCTAACAGGGCTAACATTGCAAACAACTGCAACAGTGCTGACGGCTAATAGTGTTTACCTGAGAACCGGAGGGCGTGCGCTACGCTTTCCACAAAGACGCCATCGGCGGCGTCCATGAGGTAGCCACATGCACTAAAAGACATGCGCTGCCGGCCTGGCTATGTAAACACAGCATAGAGAAGCTCAGAATAACAGCCCACACAGAAGGAGAGTGACTTACCCGCTCAGGTAGACATTACTCTATTATATTTTTACATATTTGTTAACTGCTATGTTAATGACCTGAATGTCGTCGCTCACCATACAGTCAGTTTAAGGATTTGTCAGTAAGGGTCTTGCAGTGACCCTTCCCTAGGTTTTGATATACTGTGCAACACACCATGGAGAGCAACCAACCATGATGGCTTCCATGTGAACACAAATATTATACGAATGTAAATGTCTGGATGGTGTTCCAGCCATCATTCTCCGTCTTTAGATCCTTTTCAGACTCAATGCCACACAGCTTGATAAAAGGAAAAAAATCTGTCTCTACTGGCCGCCGTCCTCCTCAGCCTGCACCCACAGGTCAAGTCAGCTCACGCTTTCCCTGTTTTACACCAAGAATAACTCACTTTCTGACTATAAACCCATCACGGATCTACTGTCAGGTCTTGATTTATACAGAAGCCTCTCAATTTGAAGCAGCCTGACCTTTCTCCAGTTTCACCACTCCTCAGATTGGCAGAGGTCAGGTGCATCAGAGGGGAAAGCAGCTGCACCTCTGGGATCAGTCACAGGGGAACCCCTTTTTGGCCTTTTAGGTTTGCTCCTCATTGGACAACCAAGTAATTGATGTGAAACTATGTGTAAAACTACTGAAGTATTTTACTTTTGGGTAGGAACAGCAAAACGGCACTAAAGCGGAATATAAACTTGATGTATGTAAACAGGACAGAAAAATACTCCTGAAAATCGCTCTGGAAAAAGAGACATAGGCTACCGTAGCTGCAAAATACATCTGGGTTGTTTCACGAGAAATTCTCAGCAATTAAGAATCTGAATCATATTTTCCATCCTCAAATATTCTCTTTGGACTGTGGAAGTTCTTGTGCATTACACAACACTTTTTAGGAGAAAAGAAATCACCTGTGGAAAGCCAAAATATGCAAAGTCATTGTGAGGACAGAGATGCTATTACTCTACTATTTTGGGCTTTGTTAAACCCAAGGAATAGGATTTACCTAAAAATATAGTTGGTGTCTGCAGCGGTTGTTTGCCTTTTGATGACACCAGATGGAGGACACACATCTTTATCATTAACCAAAGTTAAGTCCATGAAATTACTCAAAATGAGAGGATTTGTTTGTGTGAGATTTACCATAGCAGCAACACTGTTGCTGTGTTAACACCATGAACACAACATTATGCGTTGTCAAGAATTGAAGAAGACTCCAAGACGCCTCACCCTGCATGTAGCCTAATTGCCTGATGATGAGTGTGTTGTCCTGGTTGTCTCTGTAGGTGTTAGTCTTTGTGGATATCATTTGCACAAGTGAGTCATGTAGAGCAAAAGGCAGATGGTTGGTTTACCTTCGCGAGCAAGTCTCTTCAAGACTTCGAGTAAGACTTCTCCGGACAAATCTCCTATACCCTCTATTGTACGTGCTTCCCACTCTTACCATTCAAGCCGAAGGCCTGAACAAAGGTAGAGGATACTGTGGCTGCGTGTGTGCGATGCGAGCGCGTGGGTGGTTGCTGCGCGAAGGCGGAGGTGTTGTCGGGAACAGAAGCATTTTGCAGATGTTGCAGGGAAGAAGCAGTGAATGGAAAGTTCTGCGGTTATCAGTCTTACAGCACGCTCTCTGACTCGCAAAGGTATGCAACATGTGGCCCCTTCCCAATTCGCGTCTTGGTTTCAGATTTGCTGAAGTCTGACTGAGCAGATTGGAGGAACGAAGTGGCGTGGAGCTATAAAAGGTGAGAGACAAGATCGGGAAGAAGGTAGTGAAAGAGAAAGAAAAGTTTGAAAAACATGTTTACCAGTGGAGGTTAGGATTGACGTCGTGGTCTAAGGTTTCCCTCTTGGAGTGTCTCCCAGAGTGGAGGCGGGTGAGATTCCCTCTTGGTTCCCCTAGATGTAACATGAGGAATGCTCATCTCTGTTTGTCTCTGTCTCTCTGACCTTCTCCCTGTCTGTGCTCACTCTGATTGCCCTTCCATACTCTGAGCCTCTTCACAGCGTTACGTGCGCCCCTCTTTCTTTTCAGCATCTCAATCACCTGCCAAATACACAGTGTAATTTCGGTGCGCCACACGGCAGTCCTATAGGACCCTGCTTCTATTCCATTTCTCCATATGTAACTCTGATTTCCCCGAGTTCAAATAGAAAAGCCTTATCTGATCTGTTTACCGTCTGTTTTTCTCTTTCCTTGGCTTTTAATATGGCCATTTTGGAAAGAGATAGTATCTGCTGATGTTCACCCTCTGAATAGGAAAGCGGAGCACCGGCCCCCACTACCACAGCTCACCAATAATAAACCACCCGTGGCTGGGATCCTTTATTCTTTTACTCGCTGTATGATGTGAAAAACATAATTCTTTGGGGGGGCAAAGAAAAAAAACAAAGGATTTTACATCTTCCAGAGCTGCTGGACGTCTGCTATCAGTTCTTTGGAAACTCCCAGAAGCAAAGCACAGCGTTTCTAAAGTCACGGCTGCTGCTAGCTTACAGTAGCGGTGCCACAGTTGCCCATGCTATTGCCTCACATGGTGTGCCACTGACACAAAGACTGTTCTGTGTCACCTCTATTTCTGACAGCCCTAGTGAGTCATCGGTTCTGAAAAAAGTAAGAAAACAAAAATACACTGTGGTCGGTGCTGATTGCCCAAGCAGAGCCCCGAGAGTCTGTTCGCTAAGGTGTGGCATGAAATCACAGAGAAAACACAAAGAATGTGTGCTGAGCTTCTGCAGGCTTCCAACAGCTGCAGTAGCTCACAGGCCTTTTATTGCATGGCAGCAAAGGGAACCTCCTTACCACAACAAGACGAGAGAGATGAGAAGAAAGAGAACAAAGAAAAGCTGCTGTTCTTTACTCTTTTTTTCTAGAGCAGAGTTAAGAATAGAAATAAGGGGGGAGAATAGAAAGAATCTAATCAAGGATTTAATGAAGGGACAGAAATAATGATAAATTCAACAGAGATGAAAACTGAATAAGAAAGTGAGCGGTCCCAGTTCAAGATCTGACCTTGGGCTGAAGTTAGTGCTTAACGTCATGATATTTTTGGATGAAATAGTGACAAATTCCCATCACAATTTTCCAAAACCTAAAATGATATCTTCCCTTTGTTTTGTTTTGCATTTTTAAATTCTGAGACCTAAAGGTTTTCAATGTTCTTTTATTTTTATTGTGATCAAATTGGATTGATTTTTAGGATATACCCTGGCAATAACAAAAAGTGACATAATGTAGACAAAACATTAATTGATAAAGAATAAAATATTAAAAATAATATGAATTATAAATAGTGAGATAGGATCAATGTGAAAAAAAGGTTTTCAATTTTCAAAGACTTGTATAATCAGCTAATTGTTTCATCACTACCCATCCTAATCCCCTTACCCGCCGCCAGACCACACATCTCTTCATTGATAATCAGTATCATCTGCAGATTATAGCCGCCCTCCATCTAAGGTCTATCTTGTTTTTAGCATCATACTAAATGTTGTATTGTATTCTTTTGCCAATAGATGGGCATCATCTGTGGGAGACAGAAGCCAAAGTTGACAAGGACTCCGTCAAAAATGTAAGTGCACCTCAAAGACTCATTGGAAATGCTCCTGCTGTCTTCAGTCCCACCCTCCCTTGACAATTTCTATATTTTCCTCTCTGTCTCTTCCTCATCTGTCCCCTGTAATGATGTAACCTTTGTTAAGGCATTACAAGTTGCAACATAGAATACGATGATTAGCCCATGCAATCCTGAATAGAATTTTCACAAAATCTCTGTACCCTAACGGAGTAAACAGAGGCTGTCATATTGTTTTTGCCTCCAACACACAAAAACACACGCACGCATGGATTACAAAATAGAAGTACTCATACACACACACACGCGCGCACGCCACAGTCCTCCCAGCATAGCCAGACGTTGAGTTCACAGCAAAGTGCTGCGGTGTGGTGAATTGGACTTGAACTGTCTGTCTGTGCTGGGATCATGCAGCCAAGAGTGGATTACACCCCTGCTTTTACCTGCTGCTTTTCATAAGAGCCGTAATGAGAAAATAAACCAGTACAGTTGCTTTACTGATGCTCAGCCACACATTCAGATTGTGTTAATACAAACCGGGGTGAAAGGGAACGAAGCGAATGTTGTTGTACGTGCCACAGAAAGCCCGGTTGTGCTCTGGATTTAATCAAGACTTCACTGAGGATCGTTAGGTCTGCCTGCAGTGCGGAGAGTCGAGTACGGGATCTGCGAAAAACGCGTTTGCTTGTGCGAGATGACAGTATGTTTTGCATTGCCGATGCCTTTCATCAGCGACGTCTCATGCTTCCCCCCCCCCCCCCCCCACACACCTCCCCCTTTATTTGTGTAAACTACCTGAGGCAATTTACGCTCGCACAGGGTCTAAAATAACCCACACGCATTTAAATGCTGCAACTTGAGGGTGTTTTTTCTTCTTGTTGTTGTTGCTATTTCACTCAGGTAAATTACTTGGTTGCGTCAGGAGGGTAAATATGGACCGGTATCTAATTGGCCTGTAGGGCTGCTGATGTGCCATGGCTGGGGTCCCAGATGCTGGAAAAATTAGCGGGGCGTGCAAGGCCCGGCCGGGGCGGCGGCGGTGTGGGCAGGCGAGGTTCGATGAAAGACAAATACTAATGCGTGTTTATTTGTAGATCTAAAAAACAAGTGGGGAGGGAAGGCAAGAGGGCTCTGGCCTTCCTCTTATGTCAGTTGCCACCAGACTACCCTAAAGTGCTCCAGACTGCCTGCCCGACAGTGTTTTTATTGCCATCCAGAGCGTGCTAACTTTCATTGGTTAGGATGGAGAGGGAAAAGCCATGTGCGCACGCACACACACACGCACGCACTGGAGACACTCAATCAGCCACCTGCATGTTTTCTTTGTCGTCATCTGGAGGGCAGACGGGGGCGGAGGCCGCAAGTCCCTCACGCCCCCCCCCCCCCCCCCCACAGCTCCCTCCATCCACAGCGATGACCTACAAAAACCTGCTTCCTGTCACTCTAGCCTGTTTGGACCTCAATGAGAGTGACAGCCATCCCAGGAATTAGATGCAAAAACTCTGGCAAATTCCCTCCATGTTCCCCTGTCATCAAGACAGCAGTCGAAAGTTCACATCCGTCCAGACTTGCCGAGTTCTTGCCTAGGGGGAGGGGGACAGGCGAGCCTCTCCGCAGGGAGGCATGGCTGTGCAAACAAATAAGCCGGCTACCTCTCTCCTCTCATGCTGTACAAAGCCAAGCCCTGGGGTTTTCCTCGGAGACAAACACGGGCACTGGACCAACCTCATGGGGGTCTACTGCTGCGTCTACACAGTCCAGACGAGCTCATTTAGATCAGTTCCCAGTCCGGCCTCTTGAAAGCAGTACCCTAAATGAAGTAAAATAAACATAGCCGTTGATTAATAGGCTGCAGGAAGCTGGACTACAAACTGAGAGTTGGAGAGTGAAATCTGATGTGTAAATACAACTAATGAAGGCACTGTTATTTTTCTATGCTATCGGCAGCTGTCTTATCTCATACAGTTGAAATATCTTACGGTGTCTCTTTGTATTTTAGAGTACTCTTGTTGTGGAGATCCCGCCGTACAGGAACCAGAGAATATCCAGCCCGGTGCAGGTTAACTTCTACGTCTGCAACGGCAAAAGGAAGAGGAGCCAGTACCAGCGCTTCACCTACCTGCCTCCTAACGGTAATCATCATAGATATTTCTTTTCTTTTCCTTTCCTTTTTTAAAAATAATCACTGACAGACATGTACGCTTTTCACAAGCTGCACGCTCCGCGTTCGTCACATAGAGTATTTGTCCAGGTCTTGACATCCGTCCACTGTAGTTTTCTCGCGGCCGTCAACATGCCGTGCGAAATTTGCGGCCGTTTTTTTGTTGGTCGGCGTTTTCGACATTTACACCTGGCACCGCTCGGCCCGTAGCCTGCGAGTGAGAGCAGAAGATGTGAGGTGTGTTTACTCTGGAGGGAGACGGCGTTCCCCAGCGATGAGGTGTACCTGCTGAGTGACAGAGCCTCCGAGCACTGTTGATGAAGAGAAGTCAATCCCCCCGGCGACCTGACTTTCACACCCATGCGTGCACACACACACACACACACACACACACACAAGTGCATCTACCAGGCAGTGCTTTGCCCTGTCATTCATGTAGCAACCTGAAAACCCTAGGAATACCTCTCTCTGTGTTTATCATGTGTCCCTGGCCTCAGTGTTTATAGATGGCTTTCACATTGGAATTTGAAGAATGTATCGCTGAGAGTTTAGAGAAGAGTTCAGCCTCAAAATTGCATTGCGAGCTGTTGACTTTTCACAATGGGCGCAGGTGAACTATCAGCTTTGGTATCACTTTCAACCATTCCGACTGGAATACTGTTATTTTATCTTTATGTGTTCAGAGAAAGTTGACTAAGCATGCTTGCTCTTCTTTCAGCATAACAACGCCTCCCGTTTATAGTGGCAAAGTCCTTTGAGCAGCTTCACTGAAGCAGTCGGGCTTTTGGGTCTTTCGTAGAGTACGAAACAACTATTCTGGCACATGATCAATAGTTGCTGAAGGCTGGTTTCCCCACATAGTCCCAGCTAGTTTAGGAATTCCAACCAGCAACCTTACCTTTATGAGACCTGCATCCTACGCGTGATAACCAACGAAAATCCATTAGATCAAAAACAATGTTACCTTGTATTCATTGATCAGTCGTCTAATGGGTCTAATGCTGCTGGGAGAGCATGCATTGCTTATTGAGTTAATACGATGAGACATTTAGATTATCAGCAGATGTATTTATGGCCACAGGAGATAAGTGTTTGGGATTTTGGACGAGGCTCCGAGCGAAAGTCAAGCAAGGCCCTATTTGGAAATGCCTGAATATATGACGAACGAGTTCATCGTGGGTAACTGGACCAGCGTAGGGCTGACGAACAGTGTCCTTATATAGCAGATCCATTTCACAAACTGTATTTCCACGGGAGAGGAGAGGGAGAGAGAAGGGCGGAGATGTAGAGGCTTATCAGCCTCTACTACGCATCTCTAAGTCATTTCCCTGAGCATAAACACAGCTCTAATTAAAAGATGACTTGTTGTGTTCTCTCTTTTGTTGCCAAGTTAACCGCAAGTACAGTGCGGACCACACAAGCAGGGCCAGTGTCTTCGCAAAGGAGCATAATTAACTCACAACTGTTACAGCCAAAGAGGCCACGGATCACAAGCTATTGAGTTCTATTTTGAGATTTACCACTCGCTTGAAAGCACACAATAAAATATACAACATTTCTAAAAAGAAATATTCAGTATTTCAGTCAAAGAGGGAATCTAGAGTGTAATATTGGAACTGTGCTGGATAGCAGCTGAGGCAAAGCTGCTCTAGGTGCAGAAGTAATCTCATTTCATTGAGAAAACCTCTGCAGGCGACACAAAAAAAAACATAATTTCTCTGGTGGAGTAACATCACAGCCGGCGGAGTCGCGAGTTGCAACTTGCATTAGCATTGACATTGGCTATACATTGTCAATGAGATTTTAAGGGGGTTTGAGAACAATAGTTGTAGTTATAAATGTAGATAGAAATACTGATACGATGGCAAAAATGTATTTTCCTCGTAATGATACCGGCATAGTGACTAATCAGTGCTCTCCCATTGAAAAGCATTCACAAAGAATTCTGTACAAAGGTTATAATGAGTGTAAGCAGACCCTCTGTGGCAATGATGAATTGCCACAGAGGGTTTCAATACAGCAACAAAGAATGAGGAAATCCTAGTGAAGCTGTTTGCTTTTGAAGATGTCAGTGTGTGTGTGTGTGTGTGTGCGTGTGTGTGTGTGTATGTTTGTGTGTCATCACTGAGAGAAACAACCAACACTGTGGCCAGGTACTCGGGGTGGGCTGGGGAGGAGGACTCCCACACACACACACACACACCGTTGTCAACACTTTTTTTTCTTTTTTGCTCGCTCGTAATGAAAAGACTCTTCCGGCCCGCTGTCCCACTTCAAGCACAGTTGTGGTCACTGACGTTGTTTAGAGAGAACATTTCTTTCACACTCGGGTGTCTGCTCATCTATAAAAAGCCAAACCTTTAAATAGCCTGACTTGTTTGAAACAGCGGAAGGATGAAGCAAACACTCCGGGACACAGATGCTAGTGAAAACCACCTTTATTTTCCATTCAGGTCATGTGAGCATCTTGTTGTTCTTTCATGCAAATGCGGTTGGCACCTATTGTGGCTAAACACCGATGCCGACTTTCACTATGCCGTGTGTTCCCCTCATCTCAATCGAGAATATTACTTCGATAGAGACTGTTTTGTTTCACACATGTAAGCAGACCCTCATATTCTGTCGACCTCACCCTGCCTCCAAAACGTGAAATGATAACATATTATCAGATGCAGTCTGTAGTGGAGTCATGGCCACTCTTTACTCTAGCTGATAGACAAAGATACGGCTCAGTGATATGAGTAGAGGGGTGCTGTTGACCTGTTGATGCATTGCCATTGGGGTATGATTTGAGCCAGTCAGAAACAGCTTCTTTGAAATGTGTCTTTAGCACTGTACAGTATGTCAGAGAGCACATGGTGTCTTTATGCCCTTCAGTTGGGCTTCAGAGAATTAAAGACCCTGGCCGTTAGAAAGTTTAATAAAAATTGTTTAATCCTGATGAATTTATTTAAGTAAAATACATAAAAACATGAAAAGCCAATCAAGAGAAATGTTTTGCTGCTCACAAGTTACTGAACATGAGGCAAAGCTGCCTTCAGCAGATGGATCGAGAAGACATTTGTTGCTGATTAAGACCGTTTGCCTTTCTGTGATGCGGAGATGAACATACGGAACACCTTGTCTGGCTCCAGGAATGAGCCCCTCTTTTCCAAGCTCCCTTCCAATCGTTATTGCGTGAGTAGAGACGTGACGTGTCGCTCTTCGAATAAGAAAAACAGTTTTTCACCAACCACATTAAACAAGAAACGGCAAAAAAAAAAAAAAAAAAAAAAGTCCTGGCAGTGACCGAAAGCTTGAGCGAAGAACTTCTCGGAACCCCTTTATTTTTACAGGCCGTTTGGAGATTCCTCTGTAAGATCGAGTTCTATTCTTAACGCAAACGGGTGCAGACTCCCTCCGCTGCATTGGTTTGTGGTTGGAAGCTGGAAGGGGGGGGGGGGGGGGGG